GATTGGAAACTGCTATTGTATGCATAATTCTATGAACAGGCTACCAATATTAGCCTTTGAGAAGATTTTTATATGCAAATCATGTGATGAGAGTTTCTAATAAGTCCTCCAACTCCTCCCTTCATCTTTATGAGTTTACAGAAAAAATCAATTACATTATGCGAACTCATGATACGCGCGCATCTTGGAACATCTAATATAACAGATTCTATGCTTCACTTTAAGTAACCTCAGTGACCCTCCCTAGATAAGCACAGTTGCACGTTAATAGCACAGCAAACCAGACTCTTAGTTCAAGTTCTTAGCGCATTTGGTTCAACTGACACATGCGAATCGTTTTTTTCCCCATAAAATGAAATCGACCTAACACAACACAAACACACTTAAACATAACGGACACTAACATGTAACATCCATTATGATATACAAATATCCGAATTGAGATTGATTTGCAAACGCTAAGTGAAAGAGTGGAGAAACACATATAGCACTAGTCAAATAAATATGTTTTTTTAATGATTTCATTTTTTTATTTTTTTTTATATTTATATATTTTTTATAGTTCATTTTTAGCGTAATATATTTCTTTACAATGTGCGTTTAGTATCATTATTATTATATTATCTAAGTTTGCATGTAAGAATAATAGTAAACACACCAACTCATTCTGTTCCAATTTTTCACTCCCAAAAAATGCCTATAGTGTCTCCTAAATCTAACAGGGGGATGTATAATTTTATATGCGGCCAGCGGAGTTAGTATGCATTTCCAACGTGGCCCGCAAGATCATTTGGGTTGGACACTCCTGGTCTAAAGCAACGAGACTCACTGAGGCGTTTGCGTATAAGTATTTGTCTACAGCAGCTCAGCTTCTGAGTTTCATGCCAAGTGATGTACGAATCCAGCGCCTGTGAACGTGTTCATGCGGTTTAACAAACACTCTCCTCCTCTTCTCCTTTCTGATTGGATGATGCATCACATTCAATGAAAAATATTTGTTATGTTTATGTTGACTGAATTCATTTAATAAAAGATTCCTTCAATCAGAGGTTTGATGTTTTCTGGAATATACGTAAATCTGAGTTATACCATTGTAGACTGGTTTGGACATGCCATGGTAGCCATAGGAAGACCGAGGATATATTCCATAGGATGACGTATGTTCCCAATATACACAGTCCAGTCCCATTAATGTGACCACCACCTACTTTCGACGTCAACGTGAAATAACCCATCCCAAAAGGCAGGTGGCAGCACATTGCAGTGGACTGCATATAAAGGATGTCCTAGGGCATCCTTTATATACTTATTCTAAATCCTTACTAATCCTAAATCCTTTATATACTCATAGAGTATTAAAAGCTTATGGCTTTTAACAGGTGGTCACATTAATGTGTCTGGACTGTGTATTTTCTAGTGTCAAACTAAAGACACTCAGAAAAATCCACGAAAATATTCATTAAAATTACTCATTTAAAATTACTCGTGAATTTACATTGTGTATATTTAATGTCAATTATCAATTTTTAAAATTAAATAATAACATTTAAATTTTTTTATTTCTGAACATGCAGAGTAATACAAAAATAAACCTTGTCAGGCTAATTTTTTAAAAAAGAAATAAGTGCTTTCATGTTGTTTATGATTCGTAACACATAAATGATTCGTAATATAGCCTGAATAATGATTCGTAACGTAACCTGTATGATGAAAAATAGTATAATTTGTACATGATTCGCAACCAATGATGCAACCAATATGATGATTTGTAACATAACCTGTAGATGAATCGTAACGCAACCTGTATGATGAAAAATAGTATAATTTGTACATGATTGATGCAACCAATATGATGATTTGTAACATAACCTGTAGATGAATCGTAAAACCTGATTCGAAAAATAGTAGCCTGATGCATAATGATTTGTAACATAACCTGTAGATAATCGAACGCAACCTGAAAAAAATAGTATATTTGTAATTGCAACCAATATGATGATTTGTAACATAACCTGAGATGAATCGTAACGCAACCAATGAAAAATAGCAATTCCAATATGATGATTTGTAACATAACCTGTAGATGAATCGTAACGCAACCTGTATGGAATAGAATCAAATGACTTAAATGGCAACATAACCGGTATTCAGCGCCGAACGAAAAAAGATATTCTGCGGAATTTTATGTTAAATTATTACCAGAGTTATATCTATACAACAAACTATTTTACACACTTTCGGACAAAAGCTTCTATTAAAATTTAAACAAAGAAATTCTTATCATTGACATTTAAATATAATAATAATACTGTGCCCAAAAAGTAAGACCAATTATTTTTTTTTCAAAAACTGTTTATTTATTCTTCCAAATTTATTTCATCGCCTTCAAAATAATCCCATCCGGACACAATGCAATTATGACAACTTGACGGTTTGCAAACACCAATCTTTAATAATGCTTTGGACGTGAGCTTCGTCGGTTGAAGTGGAGGGTCGACCAGAGGGTTCTTCGTCTTCAACGCGTTCTCCGCCTTCTTTGAACTGTTTTTACCACTTCTAAAACATTTCTTTCCAATATAGGAATGCTCACAGAATGCCTTCTACAACATTCTATACTTTTCCGCAAACAAACTTGAATGCAAGTTCTTTGCACAATGAATTCAGACATTTCAAAAATCGCCGGAATCAGTTTTAGCATCTCACAAAAACAAGCGTCACTCAAACACTAATGAATATTTTGACGTCCAATTTCACACAGATGTCAAGGACAGTGCCAGCAACCTAAAACAGAAAAACAAAATTGAAATTCCATAAGGCCCGGGAATTTGAAATTGAAAATGGGTCTTACTCTTTGGACACAGTAGTATAAAAATGTAACTTTTAATATTGCCCATCGTTAAGCATAAGCGTACATGGAGAAAAGGTCTGGCCATATCTTAATTTCTCTTATCGAGAAATAATCCCAAAGGCAAGAAAAAGAGACATTTAATGGAATTAAATTTCAAGTTGGTGGTATGAGGCGTTATTTAATTATAAATGCACTTTAAAAACACGATTCTGAAAATAAGATTTTCATTAACGTGTACCTTCAGATAATCCGGGATTAGCTCCTCAAGTGCAGTTCCGGTTACAGTGCGGAAAAGGTGGTCCACGATTTTCTCCTTGTTGTCGAGTAAATCCTTAATTCGTACGGGAGGACCTGGTGGTTGAAGTGCTTCTTCCTTCTTCGGAGGACAGATCTGAAGAAGATGGGAATAGTACTAATTAATAAGGTATCACAAGTGGTTAAAACGATTACCATGCGAATAATTCATCTAATGTATCGTGCGTTACGAATGCTAAAGCCTGGTGCTTCTGCTACCATGTGGTATTCATTTCGTATCTTAAAGAACTAATCACATTAATTTCGAAGGCAGACGATGCAAGAAAGTAAAATATAACAGTGAACTTTATTCCTTAATCAAGAAATGCGATATTGGTTATCGGAAGAACTATTTTCTCAAAATGTATTCAGTTCATTGTGGTACTAATTGTATGCGATGTATCTTAATTGTTTCGTCTTGTTCAAATTGTGGAATGGATTAAAAAGGAAAAATTCTATTAAAAAAAAAAAAAAAAAAAAAGAATTTAACAGAAAAGAAAGAACAGAACTGCTTCACGGGGAAAAAAAATTTGTTTTTTATATAGAGCTTTTTTAATCTTTTTTTTTCTCTTTTCGTTAGCTTAAAGAATATTTGCAGGGTTCTTCTTTAATAATAACTTTAACTTTTTAACAATTATTTTAACAATGTTAAAAATTTGAGAGATCAAATGCGCTTTCAATTATGAGTTATCAGGACCTGATGACCGAGTGGTTAGCGCTCTGTACCACAGGTCTCGAGTTCGAGACTCGGCGGTGCCATGTAGATTTGTAGTGGTTCGGAACCATTTTAAATCGTAGGACCCGGTCTAACAGGATCGTAGCGCGCTGAGGGGTGTATTGTTACTCCACGTTCGTAGTTATCTTCAAGCTACACGCATCCCCTGTGTTTGTGCTGAGTAACGTCAGTGCAGCCCTTGCATACAATAAAAGATAACTGTCTAAGTATTTGCCAGCTGCATTAGAAAACAAGTAATATAAAAAAAAATTTTTAAGTCAATTCCTACTTTTTTTTCAGTCTATTGTAGAAAGTCCTTCATAAATAACTATCTATTGGTAGATATAGGCAACTTAAATCTAAAAATCTTTTTAATGAATTAACTAAATTTAATGAATGAATGAATATTTGAAAAAACTGTATTAGATTTTCCAGTGTTATCCACTGCAAGTTCAAGAGAAAAATGTATTTGAACTTGAGTGGATGAATAAAAAGTATTTTTATGAACGATTGAAAATTTGAACAAGGTATATATAGGGAGAGTGTGAGCTAATAGAAGGAATTGAAAAAAATATGAATTATCAAACTGCACCAAATTTAATTTTCTCTTTTCTTCCTTAAGGTTCCTTCCCACCGAGGCGTGAGGCTTTAAGCGAGAAGCGCTGACCAATCCCTAGCCTCACTGCGTTCGCCTGAAACCAGCTTGAAATGCACCGCTTCACTAGGCGTAATGCTACTTCTGACGTTTCGCTGTGAAGGGGTCGAAAAAATTTTCTTGCCTGCCGCGTGAATCTTCAACGCTTCACGCCTCGGTGGGAACGAGCCTTTACTCGGACTTAGTTGAGAATGATCAGATTTAACATTTACTAAAATTCCATCCCAAAGAACTTCACTTCTGCCTTTTCCACAGGATGTTTGCAAAGAGCGTCATCCTCCTGGCCATTTCACACAAAGCTGTTTCGGTTTCTTGGGTCGTTGTTTTAGATGGCACATCACTGCAAAGCTTTTGACATCCCTATATTGGACAAATATTTGGAGGCATGCGTATTATAAGAAAAAAAAATTCGTATACCGAAAACAGATCGTATAATAGGTTGGATATATTCCAAGGAGAACATACGCCACGGTATCACAGTGAACGCCAACGGCCATACCTTGCTGAATATGGCGGTTCTTATTCAATCACCGAAGTCAAACATCATCGGGTGCGGTCAGTATTTGGAGAGGTGACCACCTGGGAACACTGCGTGACGTTGGCATTAAAAATTTTAGGGGCCTGAATGGCCGAGTGGCTAGCGCTCTGGCGCTCGGTACCACATGTTTCGGGTTCGAGTCCCGGCGGTGTTATGGATATTTGTAGTGATTCGGAATCTACTTTAAACCGCAGGTGTACGTTAAACCGTAGGTCGCAGAGCGTTGTGGGTTTAGTGTTACACCGGGTCCGTGGCTTATCTTCAAGTTACACGCGCCCCCTGGGTAGTGCTCAATGAGTGACGGTGGTGCAGCCCTTACTTAAGGCATAAAGATGAACTGTCTCTGTATTGCAGCTGCATTAGGAAAAAAGATGATTACAGATTTTAAATTGTTATGTTGCTTTAATCTCATTACCTGGACACTGGCGTCGCTGGAAGTGGTCGGTTCCCATTTTGTTTTATAGGGATGTTTGGCAGCACTTTCTTTACTTTTGGGGCTGCTCAACTTTTCGGAGGACTTCTTCAGAGGATCACCCTTTGAGCCGCTCGACTTTTCGGAGGACTCCATACGTCGACTCTTGCCTTCCGCTGCTGGACTCGGGTTACTTCTTTTCATTTTAGACTTTTGTTCATTCATGCTGAAAGGATAGAAAAACAAAAGGTAAGATACAGAAACGATGCGCTTTTCTTATTGAATGAGAAATACCGAAAACGTTCGTCTCAAGAGAAAGTACAGCATAGACACCAATAATAACTCAATTAAATTAACTTAGAATGTGCTTTTGATGGGATTAAAGAAATCCATAGAGAATTGTTTTTTAACGCAGTGTGTACTAATAACAGAGGCTTCACAGGTGTTGCATATATTTTTTTTCATGCTTGTCTTTTATGTGCGAACATGATGTTGTACTAGTATGTTGTCGCTTGCTAGCGACTAGTTGTGTCAGGTGGTTTAGTGTTGTAGGCGTCTGGTGGATGAAACACTACTCTTTCTATTTACAGTACTTTATTTACAATATTAGAGAGTTTTTGCATAACGTTTTTTTTCGATATTTTTCTTCCTAGCGCGCATGCTCACAGGAATAGCTCAGTAGTGCAGTATTACAGATAAGCATGCGCAATAGGTACAATGTTTCCTATGAGCATGCGCGCTAGAAAAAAAAATATCGGACGATAAAAACGTTATGCAAAAACTCTCTATTAACAATACTTTATATACATTACTTTGATAAAATGGCACCCTGAGGACCCCTTCTATTACAATATCAGTTCTATCTTATACTTAACAACCGCGAATACATCACATACGGTCCCTGACCGTACAGACGCTCCTAGCGTTCTGCCTCGTCATTTCAAAATCAAACAGCTCGTACTTACCAGTCCAACCAGTTTACACAGTACTGGTCACAGTGGCGACCTCTCGCGTCCATCTAATTATAGTTAAACCTTACAAGTAAGAAGTCCATGATGGTGTTGTTTTAAATAAACATCGAGATGGGCAAAAAGTTTTCTAGAAGTTAATGAGCAATAATTCCGTAATGAGCAATAATTGTAATTATATATAAACAATAACTTGTATATTGTTTTTAAAATTTTAGAAGAATTTATCTTGGTCCGCCAAACGTTTTTTTTCTTCTTTTTTCTTTTTCTTTTTTTTCGATTTTTGGCGACCGATCAAGTTTGCCCATCCCTGATTTAGACTAGTCTAGAATCCTATACCCAAAAGAAAAAAATATATTTTGAATATTTTGAACAAAAGAAGTCGATAACAATGATGAGCAACGAGGACATGTAAGATCTTCTAAACTTTTCAGTCAACGTTTCTGTATTAAAAATATTCATATAATTTAGCTTCTTTACATAACTGTACTTACAGTTAATTAATTCTAAAATTAAACAGATTCACTAAATTTTGATTCATATAACATAACAAGTTTTATCTGTAATGATGTTTGTGTATCTCACGAACTATATCATTGCAATCGAATAACTACGAAATATTTTTTATTGTGCGTTGCTTCATAAATATTAAGATTTAATTTACTAAATAAATATTTTACCTATGTCAGCCCTACGCCCTGCAGCCCTATTAGACCGGGACCTACAGTTTAAAGTGGATTCCGAACCACTACAAACATCCATGGCACCGCCGGGACTCGAAGCTGAAACATGTGATATCGAGCGCCAGAACACTAGTCACTCGGCCATCAGGTCCCAAACAATATGTTTACCATTAGTAATTGAAAGTTTTAAGAAAAATCCATGTTTATATTCATTTTTTAACTTAAATATCACTTATGTAAAAAGAATGAATATCTTTTTATTTATTTCAGTTGTTAGTGTTTCATATTTAGTATTTATTGTGTTTATTTTTTTTTATCTCTGATGTTTATCTACTTCATTTTTTTTTCATAGTCCAGATTTAATAAACTGTTTCATTTTTATTTATTTGTTTTCTTCATAATGAAACTCGGATGGATATTATATTGAAATTTATGCAAATGCGATTGCCATAATTACGTAAAGGCCGTTTTGCGGAGAGAGTGTATAAATATGTCGAGCCATTTCTTCCTGGATTTTTTCAAGTTCTTTTTTATTTTTGTAATCTTTATTGATACTTTTCCTTAAACAGAATTAGTTTTTTTTTTAGTTTTTTTTTACTTTCCTATAATATTTGTGCAACGCGTTTTATCCAAATTTCGAATAAGGTTAAAATTACTGTGCATCTATTTTTTTAACTTTGGAATGAGATACAACTGGAAAGAAATTTCTTTCTTCCTTCTAATGAAATGTCAGTGAATTAGTTTTTAAATGCTTGTTCAATGTACTACTGTGTCAAAAAGTAAGACCAATTTTCAATTTAAATTTCCTGGCCAAATACAATTTCATTTTTTTCTTTTTTAGGTTGCTGGCACTGTCTTCGACATCTGTGTGAAATTTGACGTCAAAATCTTCATTAGTGTTTGAGTTACGCTTGACTTTGTGAGATGCTGACACTGATTCCGGCGATTTTTGAAATGTCTAAATTCATTGAACAAAAAACTTGCATTCAATTTTGTTTGCGGAAACGTATAGAATGTGGCTGAAGGCATTCGGTGAACATTCCTATATCGGAATGAAATGTTTACAAGTGGTATAAACAGTTCAAAGAAGGCAGAGAACGTGATGAAGACGAAGAGCCCTCTGGTCGATCATCAATCTCAACCGACGAAGGTGCATTGATTCTTCGTGACTTTTTCGCCAAAAATTTCGTGACTTTTTCTCCATATCGTTCCACAACCACCGTATTCACCTTATTTAGCATCGTGCGACTTCTGGCTATTCCCTAAACTCAAAAGCCCACTCCGGGGACACGGTTTTGAGTCGATTGAAGAGATTCAACGTGAATCGGCGCGAGCTTTGAAGGCCATCCCTGCCAATGACTTTTTAGCATGCATTGAGGATTGGAAAAAAATTGGCAGAAGTGCATTGTGTCGGGAGGGGATTACTTGGAAGGTGATGAAATAAATTTGGGGTCGAAAATGAAGTATTCCAAATTCTACAGTAAACGTTATCACATTCAAAGAGAGAAAGAAACCAAAAGAAAGTATCAAAGCTTGAAAATATTAGTCGTAAATGAAGAATGAAGTATTCCAAATACAATAAGAAGCACTATACAGCTCAATAGGCATGGGAAAATGCCGAAAGTGATAAATAGTAGTTGCTTAAAAAAATGATTAAGGTTTTTTTTTTTTTTTAAATTTCTGCAATGCAAGAATAATTATAAGCAATAATAATTATAATTATAAAATAAGAAGTTAAAATAGAAAATGAAGTCAAACAGTATAACGTCTATTGCAGATAGTAATTCAATTTGATTGGCTAAGAGAATTAAAAAAAAAAGGATTTTAAGTTTTTTTTTTTAAAAAGGTACAATTAAGGGACTATTACAAAATTCCTAAATAATAAACAAAATGGAAATTTTGCGAACAAACCATTATTAAATAATAAAAAATAAAAAAACAACTGAAATCTGCTCGGCAAATTTCAACTTATCATGTGTGAACATACGAGAACGGATGAATAAACTCCGGAAAATGCCAATGTTTAATAATGCACGAGATATAGGAAGCAATGGATTGGAATACTACAAGAATGGCCAAATTCAAATAGCCACATGAATAAAGCAATGTTGAATAGATCAAGAACTTCATGAAGAATGAATTGTTCAAGAATCTCTAAAATAATATACAAAAGTAAGATAAATGTCGTCGGAAATGAAGAATGAAGTATTCCAAATTTTACAAGAATCACTATCACATTCAATAGTCAACAGAATATATAAAAGTGTGAAAATTCTAGGCATAAATGATGAATGAAGTATTCCCAATTTTACAAGAAACACTATCACATTCAATAGCCAAAAGAATATATAAAAGTTCGAAAATTCTAGGCATAAATGATGAATGAAGTATTCCCAATTTTACAAGAAACACTATCACATTCAATAGCCAAAAGAATATATAAAAGTGTGAAAATTCTAGGCATAAATGATGAATGAAGTATTTCCAATTTTACAAGAAACACTATCACATTCAATAGCCAAAAGAATATATAAAAGTTCGAAAATTCTAGGCATAAATGATGAATGAAGTATTCCCAATTTTACAAGAAACACTATCACATTCAATAGCCAAAAGAATATATAAAAGTTCGAAAATTCTAGGCATAAATGAAGAATGAAGTATTCCAAATACAATAGAAAGCACTGTACAGCTCCATAAGCACGGGAAAATGCCAAAAGTGATAAATGTGAAACTCCAAGAAGAAGGAATGGATCAACGCACTACGATATAAAAAATGTTTAAAAAAATGTTTAAAATCCCAAGGCAAAACGTGAAAAGTGATTCAAAGCCCTATTACAAGCAAAACCATACTTCAAGCTAAAGCCAAATTCTCCAGAAAATTCCTGAGGATGAACGTTATTCATGAATCATTTCAAGAGTTAGGGGGCCCAAAGTACAATTTTTTAGGCAAAATTTGCAAATTTGAAATTTAGTTTTATTTGCCTGCTGCACTTTT